CTACAAAAATAAGATATTCTTGTCGATATTCGGTAGCATAAGTATACCATTTTCGAGAAAAATTAAGTTACATTTTTTTGCTCACATAAAGCGCCACAAGTACATTAACAAAATATTAAATTGAAAGAGGACCTTACCATTGAATGAGCTGAAGACATTTAGCTACCAACAGTATTTGCATTTAAGACTATAATTTTAATTTCTTACGTATCATATGAAACAGTTAAATTGTAAAAAAATAAAATTTATTAAGTTTTAGTTTGCTGTAAACTAACAATTAAAAAAGTAAATCAAAATAAAGAGATTATTTTAATTAATTATCTATTAATAACTAATTTTAGATTTTGTGAACTACTACATTATCATTACTAAAATAAACAATTATTGAATGAACTGAATTGTTGATGGATGCTTAAAAAAATTGATAAGTACAGAAAAATATTAGAAAACAGACTCGGAGACATACAGAACAAAACAGCTGCACAATTAAATAAATGAGCAAAACTCGAAATACTACAATAGATGCTGAAATTGTCCCCCTATACAACTTTATTTTTCTCGAAAATAGTACGTGCTACCGAATTTCGATAGGTATACCTTTTTTTGTGCTATGCTTTAGAGTTTACAGAACCGTTTAGAAATGTAACAAATTTTGACTTTTAACATTTTTTTCTCGACTGTACCCCTTCAATTACCTGTATCGGCGACACTAGTTTTCAGAAAGAAACCGTTTGTTTAACGCATAGTTGATGTTTACCCGTGTACAAATTTTGATATTTTTATTTTTAGCCGATTTAAAGATAATTAAGGAAAACCATTTGGATACTTTCCAAACAACTTCAACAAACTGTATCTTGAAAACAGAAAAAAACTTTACATGAACTACCTCTATTATTTTGCCACGAGATTTTTTGAAACATAAACGAGACACCCTGTATAAAGAAAGTTGAGGACATAAATAATTTAAATATGTTGTTGGCCAAATGAACATAGGTATAATAGAAATTTTCTACACATTATAATTAAGTATACAATAATATATTAAGCATTAAGAACGGTAAGGGTAATTTACCGTTCGAAGACAATTTTGTCTGAGAACGGTATAACTCTTAACGTTCGTGATACTTATACTATTTTTTGCACGATCGCAATAAATGAAAACGAAATTATATATACGTATTTAATTTTTTATGTAACGTCAAAAATGACGTTTCTGAATAAATTTGCGAAGCAGGTTTTTTGAAATCTACTGATGTTTATTGTTGTCACGGCTTTCTTAATTGACGAAATTGACAGTTCTAGAATAGAATAAAAATTGAAAAAACATGTAGGTACTGCTCCAATTTCTGTAAGCAATTGTACAAACTGTACATTTAATTTCAACATTAATAAATAGATTTAAATACATCCTTCTTTTATACCAATTACCCACATTTAGAACTGAATTCTAGAAAACTCATTCCAAATCAATGCGATGTTGAAAATGTCTATTTTGACAGATTCGTTTACCGTTCTAGAACGGTAAGTGAATTACTTACCGTTTTGCAACCAGTAAGCGCATCCTACTGTCGTAGAAACAAACATGGTAAGCGAACTAAAAAAGCTTGATCGTGCAAAAATTATTATTACTTCTTACCTTTAGCAGAAAACTTTTTAGGGATGCCTAAGAAACTCATTAAATTTTATAACTAAGCGTTTTTATACATGTTCAACTGACTTCGGAAAGACTATAATACTAATGTGTAATCGGCAAGGAAAAATAATTTTATCCAACACTTGTATACAAGGTGTCTCATAATTAGCTGCCAACCCTGAACAGGCCGATTCTATGATCAAAACTAAGTAAAAAAGTTCATATGAACATGGGTCCGGAAATGCTTCCTAAGGGCACAGGGACCCATTGAAGAGGGAGGAATGGAAATCATTTTTTTGCAATATCTCTCAATCGCGTTGTGATAAATGAATGAAATTTGGTATACACAGCTAAATTTTGATGAGCAATTTGATGGACTAATCCATTTATTTCCACAAGGTCCATTGGGGTGGGTACGGGGGGGCCCTTGGTACTTTGCGTGTGTAACTTTTTCATCTTTGACTTTTTAACAAATTGGACAGCAAATTCCGTTTTCCCGAACTGTTTTACGTTAAAAAGGTACTCTTGTTTCAAATCGTTATCTTTAACGGTTTCTGAGAAAATCGCTCTTGAATTAATCCCACTTTGGTCAATTTCATAGTAATTTAAACAAAATTATCAAGGTATTCTTATGTCAAAGTATTGTCAACCCGATTGCCAATTTAATAGTTCTAAGCGAAAAAAATGGAAGAGTTTACGGGACAAGAGTTAGTTGATATGATATTTATTTATGGCTTTTGCGATGGTAATGCTGCAGCGGCAGAACGCGAGTACGGGAGAAGGTTTCCAAACCGAAGGCTGCCATCAAGGAGGACATTCCCTACGGTATTCCGCAACTTAGCTGCAACCGCCACTTTTCGAAAGGCACCGGGTCAAGGACGTCCCAGGATTAATAGGGAAGCGGAGGTCCTTGACGCTATTGAACAAGATCCTACGACTAGCATACGGAACATTTCAAGGCAAATAAATGTTCCTCGGCCAACGGTACTACATATCTTAAAGATTTCCTTAACAGAATTGATTAGATGTGCTACTAACATTTCAGGTTGGAAGAATATTAAAGCGACAAGGTCTACATGCCTATCACTATCGACGTGTACATGGCTTGATACCAGAAGATTTTGCGCCACGTATGCAATTTTGTCGCTGGATTTTGTCGCTGGACAACGAGCAAGCTTCCAAAATTTTGTGGTGTGACGAAGCTACTTTTACCCGAAATGGAAAATTAAATTTTCATAATTCTCATTATTGGGAAGAAGAGAACCCACATGTTGTTCGGAGAACAAACTTCCAGCAACGGTTTTCCATAAATTTATGGGCGGGAATAATTCACGACACTCTGATTGGACCTATTGAAATTCCACAACGTCTCAATTCAAATCTTTATTTAAACTTACTTCAAGAAAATCTTCCCCAAATTCTCGATGATCTGCCTCTAAATTTACGACGTAACATGTTTTTTCAACACGATGGAGCCCCGGCACATAGTGGTCGCAATGTTCTAAATTTCCTAAACGAAAATTTCGCTGGACGGTGGATAGGGAGGCACGGACCGGTAGCTTGGCCGCCGCGTTCTCCCGACCTAACCCCGCTGGACTTCTTTTTCTGGGGATATCTAAATCAAAAAGTTTACGCCACCGAAGTCGATACCCGTGAGGAATTGCTGCAGCGTATCAATGATGCAGCCAATGAAATTCGTCAAAACCGTTTTAGCATCTTAATAGCTTCGAGAAGTGTTACACGTAGGGCAAGACTTTGTATCAGAGAAGGTGGAGGGTTTTTTGAACAGTTTTTAAAATAGCTTGTTGTCTGTTATCAAAATTAAGTTTCCATCTTATGATCCCTTCGAAAAGTGACGGTTGCAGCTAAATTGCGGAATACAGTGAGGAATGTCCTCCTTGATGTCAGCCTTCTGTTTGGAAACCTTCTGCCGTACTCGCGTTCTGCCGCGCAGCATTACCATCGCAAAAGCCATAAACAAATCATCATATCATAATTGTTCTACATCAATAATGTGTATTACTGATTACGTATTAAATTATTATTATTATTTTTTGTTTAAATTACTATGAAATTGACCAAAGTGGGATTAATTCAAGAGCGATTTTCTCAGAAACCGTTAAAGATAACGATTTGAAACAAGAGTACCTTTTTAACGTAAAACAGTTCGGGAAAACGGAATTTGCTGTCCAATTTGTTAAAAAGTCAAAGATGAAAAAGTTACACACGCAAAGTACCAAGGGCCCCCCCGTACCCACCCCAATGGACCTTGTGGAAATAAATGGATTAGTCCATCAAATTGCTCATCAAAATTTAGCTGTGTATACCAAATTTCATTCATTTATCACAACGCGATTGAGAGATATTGCAAAAAAATGATTTCCATTCCTCCCTCTTCAGTGGGTCCCTGTGCCCTTAGGAAGCATTTCCGGACCCATGTTCATATGAACTTTTTTACTTAGTTTTGATCATAGAATCGGTCTGTTCAGGGTTGGCAGCTAATTATGAGACACCCTGTATAATGATACTATAATTTCTTTGGTTTTAAAGGAAAAATGTGGCCCTTAACTTACTAGTGAGTTATAAGTCATAAGTCATTTGTTAGTGACACCCTTGGTTACAGACACAATTTAGGTTGACACTCCCATCCTTTGAAATATTTAAAAATACATTCATTTCGTTAAATTATTTTTTCTGACATTGACAACTTGAAATTTTAAGTTACTTTTATTTATTTAAAACGAAATTCTATGAAAGTGTTGGATAAAATTTTGTATTTCATTCGTGTGTTACGTCTTGGGAAACATTTCCCAGCGTGACATATATACCGTAACACACTAGTTCCTATCATAAATAACTATAATTATTTTTTTGCTCGAAAACTATTAATGATAAGAGTGAAAAAAGTTTCTAAATGAAATGTAATATTAAAAGATGTTTTTATTGTTGGAATTAGCTGACGCAGAAAAAAGTTCTGAGAGAAATAAAACCAAGGAGTGCTAATTTCTTTAATTAAAAGACATAAACCAGAAAAAAGACTACCAAAAGATATCATTTAAGTAGTTGTTAACGTATATTAAAATTCAAGATTCAAATCGAAAAAATTTATTAGATGTACTCCCCAAAAATTACTTTCTAAACACTTCCTTAAAATACGTATTTGCACATCATTATGTAACACCCTGTATGTATATATTTATATGTATGTAATAAAGATAAAATATTTATCTAAATTATATACTAAATCTCGGTGTTTGCTTTGTTTGTGTTTGCGATAGGCGTAATTTTTGTTGAAACAAATGTGCCCGTTTTCTATTAAATAGCGTTTACAGTTCAATATATGGATCAAATTACACGGACTGCAAGGATAACCAGGCATAGTGGACATGCATGTGTACGATGGCGATGTTGGCACCGTTCCGTTCGGCATTCAGTCGAGATTCTCACATCTCTTACGCAACATGAACAGTGAACTTGTCCTGCCGAGAGTGAAATTATCCAACTCGCTGAACGTTTCGGTCGTCGACATTGAAGATGACGCACTGCCCAAAAAAACAGTTGACGTAGTAAGTGAGGTTAGGAGAGTGTTTAACAGCCACAGGACCAGACCTTATTCATTCCGACTGAACCAACTGAAGGGCTTGGTCAAGTTCTTGCAAGTTGAAGAAGAGGCTTTGTGCGATGCCCTCTATGAAGATCTGAAGAAATCAAAATTCGAAGCTGTGTCTCATGAGATCGAATTTGCCTTGAAAGACGCGAAGGAAGCCGTTACAAATTTGCAAAGTTGGATGAAGCCGGAGAGACCCAGGAAGACCGCTGCGAATTTTTTTGATGATTTATATATTTATAACGATCCTTACGGTGTTGTTCTTTTGATAGCGCCTTGGAATTTCCCGGTGCAATTGCTGATCATCCCTCTCATAGGTAAGTAAGTCTAATAAGTCTAATCTACAGGGTGCGGGCTATAAGTATTTAAGTACATACAACAGCTCTGTTACTGTTCGAGATACAAAATGAAAAATGTTGAAATAAAAATTTTCAATTATAAAGAGAAATGAAATTATTTTCAAATACTTCTGAGTAAGAATTAACCAATTAGTTTTCAATTTAGTTGTGACTACCAAAATATTTAGATTTTTTTTTAATATGTGAAACATGATCCCATGATATAGTTTTCTATATTTTTATGTTTATTAAGTTAATATAATATACATACATAAAATAGCTGGAATAACTACACAAATGCCTTAATAAAAGTTAAGAGAAGAAAAGGTGTTCGAAATTAATTTGAAATTTCCTATCTATCTTCGTTTCTAATGACAAATTTTCATTTTAGCATCAAAAGTTATTTTAGAACAATTTTAAATGAAATAATTCAATGAGTGTTAGAGAGTTTTACATATTCTCTGATTTGTTTAATGGAGATATACATATTAACATAATTATAAAATATCGTTAAAATGACAATTTGAACAAATAAAATGGGGATGGAACAAACTACTACTGTACCAAGCGACGATTTGCAGAGTTGACTCATATATAGAAAACATCCCGTATAAAACAATAAATATGTGACAGTTTTATTGTTTAACATTATAGTTCACACTACACTACCATAGCATATTTTCAATTTAAAAAAAATATTTTTTTCACAAAATAAAAAAACAATAATTTGATAAAACTGCACCCAAATTCAAAATCATTAGTCACCATAAGTTGACTTTTGCGATGAATTCAAATATTTAAATCATTATATTATCTATACTAAATAGGTACCTACATATTTAAAATTATGGGGTGTATTATGCTATATTTAAAAGACTATGTGTATACAGGTGTATACAGGGTGTTCTGAAAGTCCATCAGAAACTCCGGGAGATGATTCTGCGGATTAAAATAATAGCAGTATGTAATAAAAATTTCTTTTCGAATTGCCAATTGTTTGCAAGTGACAGCTTGTCAAAGTTCAATTTTTTTAATTTTTCTATTTAAATAACTTATTTCATTCAAGTTCGATTAGTGTCTAATTTGGCACACCCACTAAGTAGATGAAGCTCTATTGGACAATTCAGAGAAAAGTTTCATTAGGCGCAGCTAGAGGAGACTTTACCTAGAACTCAAAATTTGTTCATAACTTTTTTCTCGTGCTAGATATCACAGAAATTTAAACATTATTGAAAAGAGAAACAACATCAGAAAAAATTATGTACTCTTTGTTCAAGCCGATAAATGTAATCGGTTACCAGGAAATCGCTATTAATGTTATTAAACATCAAATTTCTGATAATTCTTTCTATAATTAATCAAGTTCCCATGCCTCAAATAATTATCATTAGTCATTTTTGTGCTACGAATGGTAACAAAAATTGTTTAAAGCAGGTATATGTTTGATTTGCACCAAATTTTTTTTTCGGCTATGTAGTAGTGTTCTGGAAAAATAAAATGAGGATAATAAATTTACTAACGAAGCTGGCTTTACAAGGGATGGTATTACAGCATGATAACTTGATTAATTGCAGAAAGCATTATCTAAAATTTTATGTTTAGTAACACTTTAATAGCGATTTCCTGGCTTGAACAAAAAAAGAATACATAGTTTTTTTATATTGTTTCTCTTTTCAATAATGGTTTAAATTTTTGAGATGTCTAGCAAGTGAAAAAGTTATAAACAAAACAAATTTAGAGTTTTAGGTAAAGTGTGGGTGTGCCAAATGAGAGACATCGAATTTGAATGAAATAAGCTATTTAAATAGAAAAATAAAAAAAATGAATTTTGACAAGCTGTAACTTGCAAACAATTGACAATTGGAAACATTTTTAATTACATACTGCTATTATTTTAATCCGTAGAATCACCTCTCGGAGTTTCCTGACGGACTTTCAGAACATCCTGTATATGCATGGAAACGGTCGATTATCTCCTAACGTATGACAATTTATCAAAAAGTCATAGGACACAAACGTTTTAGCGTTTTTAAAAATTCATTACAATCAAAGATTAAACCAAATTTTAACATCGAAAATAGACTTGCTTTGGCGTTTTTTGTTACACACACAGCGCATATTTAAATGTGTCCCTTCAAGGTTTTCACTGGATTGAACTAAAAACCTGTATTATGTAACCATTTTAATTGGTGCTGTTTATTTTCTAAATTTTAATCCAGGAAATTCCGTCCGATCCATTTTAGAGCGGATGTAAAACTGCAAGATGAGTATAGTCAATGTTGTGAAACTTCAAAGAAATTATATCTTTGTAATAGTCATCGTCATTGAACAAAGAACAACACGAAATTTAGTCGTAATAGATTATTTAACTTACATCTTCAATTTAGTAACTGACTCTTCAAGAAATAGAAACAGGAGAAATTTTTTTCCCCATAAGATTTGCAAGAAAAAAGTACGTGTTTTTTTATTAGGATTGTCAGTTTGTCTATGGGGTTATTCCTTGAGTGTAGGTTTTGAAATATTTGGCGTTGGTGGTGACTATATACAACTTTATTGTTGCGAATTTGGATTTTTTCCTTAGCAAAGATTTGAATTAACTTAATATCCTTAAAACAAAGGAAAAATGTCTATAAAAAATAATAAACAAATTGTGTAGGAAATTATGTGATAATCTAAATATTTCTGAAACAACAAAAAAATAAACAGATTTAAGGATTTGTTTGAAAGATTAATATACACTTTCTTAATAGATGTCCCTTCAATAAGTAAATATTTATACCATAATAGTTCGATAAAATTAATATTACTCAAATGATACCATCGTAATAGTATCCAGAATAGAACCGTGGGATAATTCTCGTTGAGAGAATGTAATAAATTAGCTAATTAAACGATTTGCATTTCCATAGTCAAATTATCTCAATGCAATTAATGGTGTGTTGAAATATCGTCAGAATATCAACTATAACAAACGCGCAAAGAGAAGGACACACATTTTTTAGAATTCCTACTTGTTTTTATAAAATCTTGAATTTGCGTACCTACATATATTTAAACTTATTACTTTTTTCCAAGGATAGCGAGTCTACTGACGGTGTAATATTTAATGGAAGAACATATTATTCTACCACTGATATTTAACACTTTTAATATTTTAGTATGTAAATAACTAATACGTATCCGTTGGCTACTTTAAAATAATAATTGCTTTTAATGATCTTAAAAATTATGTAAAAGGTGGTCATCAAAAGTAACTGTTTTAATTTGTGGTTAGTTACAGTAATAAGGTTGAATACATACCTACTTCTAACGGATGCTGCTCTCTGTCATAGGCAAAAAAATATTCTTGCAAATATTTGCAGTATGCTCATAAACCATTTCCTTTGAGTTTCTTAATAGAACACACATTTGAATATAATAATCAAATGAGCTAATGTGTCATGGCAACTGGCAACATTATTTTTACGTATATAGAATTATATCTCAATAATATAACTGATCATTAGAGATCGGAAATGTTAGGGCGGCTGCAATGTGGTACAGGGTTGGCTGTAGGCTGGGTTATCTTGTATGTAATTTTATCACCACCGTTAAACGCACCACCGTTAAGCGCCCCAATGTTAAAAGCCCCATCGTTAAACGCGCAATGTATGCCGATATCTTTTTGCTAAAAAAAATCACAAGGTTTTTTAATAATCTCAGATGTATATTTTCACATTTGTACATGTCTGCCTCTAATCTGAAGCTTGGCATCGATCAGTTTATTCGATATGTATCTAGTGGCACCCTAATACCTGTCGGCTGTTTTTTGCTCAGAGACGTTGGAAGTATATAACACGTGTTTTTATGGCAGTCAGTATCATTGTGCATTTTGATCATAGAGCGGCACATGGCTTGACCATAGATTTAACCTATTTCTGCTACTAACGAGCGTTCAAATAAAAACGTGGTCGAAGTTGGCTCTGACACATTGGACGTAGGGAGTAGCTTATAGCGACCAACTTAACCTCATTTCTCAACGAGCTGTATAGCAGCTGTCAGTTTCAATAACGTTAATGACTATATAACTTTATTTTAAAGAATAATCGTGATAACAATAACAAACAATTAAAGGAGCTGCGAAAAGTGTCCCCCTCCTTGTTATAACAATAAATTAAAGCAGCAGCTGAAAGTGTCCCCCTCCTTGTTCCAAGCACTTTTCACACCTGTTCCTCAAAGAATTAAAGACATTTTCTAAGATGCTCGGGGTATTGTTAATTTCACGAATCTTGTCTATAAGTCGAGCCTGCAGATGGTTTAAATCAGGAATAAGCAGTTCAAAAATAGTGTTTTTAAGGTAAGGCCACAAAAATAAATCACACGGCGTAATATCACATGACCTCGGTGGAAATTCATGTTCAGCATTGAGACTTATTAGTCGATTTTGAAAAACTTCCCTCAACATATTCATCGTCTCGCCTGCCGTATGTGCCCTTGCGCCATCTTGTTGAAGGTAAAAGTTTGTAATTTCGTTTTCTTCCAGCTGGTTAACAAAAGGAGCGATAATTTCTTCTCTATACCTTTGCGCAGTAAGAGTACCATTAAAAAAAATAGGTCCATAAATCCTCCTTCGATTGAGAGCACACCAAACTCCAATTTTTTGAGCGTGTAGAGGGCCCTCGACAAAAAAGTTATCTGGTTTTTCAGAAGACCACATTCTCATATTCTGTGAGTTTACGTAACCACTTAAATGAAACCAGGCTTCATCAGAAAAAAAGGTGATATTATGAAGTTCACCGTAGTTGTTTAAAAACCATTCACAAAATACAGCCCGTCGCGGAAAATCAACTTCATGAAGTTCTTGCTGACAAGTTATACGATAGGAGAACAAACGCAAATCTTTTTTTAACACTGTGTGGTAGGTACCGACTGATACTCCCACCATTTGTGACAAAACACGTACAGAAGTTCTTGACGCATTTTCCATTAATTGTTGGACA